TCAGTATCGCGTTGCGAAAGTAAGTATCTCGTTGCGATTTTTTATTATCGCATTGCGATAGTCAGTATCGCATTGCGATTTTCTCAATTCGCGTTGCGATTTACTTATTCGCATTGCGAATTTCCCAATTCGCGTTGCGATTTACTTATTCGCATTGCGAATTGGGAAAATCGCAACGATACTGTAGACCATCGCAACGCGATTTTCAACTATCGCATTGCGAAAATGCAACGCGTATTTGCGATAATGGAGATCGTTGCGAATTAGCGATCGCATTGCGATTTTGTTGGTCATTTTGGCAAATCCGGAAAAAGTTGGTTAAAATCGTATATTATATGGGATTTTTGGTCACTGAGGTTATTTTCTCTTAGGTTAATAATGATAATAAGTAAGTTTATTAACAATTATAAGGTAAATTGCGTAAAACATTATAATACCCCTAAAAAGATTTTTAATTTAATATCAAGTAATATAATAATGATTATAGCAGTGTAGTAAGTGATAATTCCAAAATAAAAAAACTAAACAAACACAGAAGATACACCTACTATTAATACATAATCAAAACTAGATTACAGTTAGGAAGCTTTGCTCACCGGCGAATTCAAATACCAGGTCGAATCAACCAAGAAAAAACCTAGAAAACGGAATAACATGCAACACACGCGATCAGAAATAATTATAAAAGTAGCATAGAACGTTTAAATACCTGGCCGACCACTATATGTACCTGGCCGGCAAGTAGGAAGTAGTTGTTATTTTCCGGCAGGATTGTTTTCCGATGAAGGTTCTGTTGTGTAACTTTAATGGGGTTGCCTGCGAAAAAGCTTTTCCGGCAATAGCCTCTGTGGGTATGTTCCTGCAGATCTTGGGTAGCTCAAAAACACCGGAGGCCGTATGCTTTTTTGCCGATCTGGATCTAGAATTTACCGGCGAGAGAGAGATTCCACGTTTGTAAACCTCCCTGTGAATTTTTTAGGAGCGCTACCTTCTAAGTTCCCTCATTCGAAAAGCAAGTGTAGATTAGGTGGTCTATTTTACGAAACTCTGTCGACATTCGTTGGTACTTTTCGTTGCTAATAGGGTCTAATTTGTATTCACGAGAACTCATTAGGTCCTATAGCAAATCATGCTGTTGCATGATAATTAAATGAAGCAGAAGTATGAGCATTCAGGAATCCATTTACGTTATTGATTGATTCATATGCGACATATCAAAGTAATAAAATTTGATTCATTACTAGTTTTGTTTGTAGCATTATTTCATGTTTTTTTGGATTGCGATCCTACCTTTCAGCTTCTTGTAATTTGTTTTGATGATCAACATAAGCGAGAAATAAGAGATAAGGCAAAAAAGAAAAGAGAAAATAGTGAGAATTAGTTTTTTTTTATATAAATTGTGGAACAACATCCCTGAATTATTTTAAGGGTGAACTATACTGGCAGTCACTGAACTTCTAGGGTACTTTTACTTTGGTCATTAAACTTTTAAAACTTATATTATAGTCACTATATTGTTATATGTTTTCATTACAATATCATTTGTTTAGAAATGTTAATATCGCACGTTAAAGTCCCCCCCTAAAAACCTATTTTTTTTTTTAAATAAACAGTCATTGTAGAGGCTTATTTTTCGATAAAAAGGGCAATCGTTGGTCGATCCCAACGGTAGAAAGGCTTCATTTGGTAAAAAATTAACATAATTTGGTTTCAAGTTGATATGATGGTTAACCTTGACAAATTAAAAAGTTTTAGTTTTTATTAAACTATTGGCTCCTTTCGTCATCGCTTCTATTGATGTTTGATAGTTTCTCTAATCGAAAATAACATTAGTCTATTGTTTTTTTCTTTATTCTTCCAGTTCAAATTTGTCAAAAAAAAATCTTACAATCTCAAATTTCAATCAAAATTGAAAGTTAGAACTTTGCAATGATTGTGGATATGAAAAATTATAGTTTTTAACGTGTCAAGTCAAACAACAATTATAGTAATGAAATCGAATTAAAAATTTAATGATTATAATACAAATTTTAAAATTTTAGTGATTAAATTAAAAATGCCTTAAATGAATTAAAAGTGACTACCAATGTTGTCTACTCTTATTTTAAAAGTATATAATTTTATACTAATTTTTAATAATTCAAGTGATAGATTTATTTTCTTTTTAAAAAAATATAATTGATTAAAAACTTATTATCTTTTTTAAAAAATATAATTAATAAAAAATTTATTAATAATCGAGTGGCTATGTAAATAGTTTATCTTAAAATTTAATGTTTGAATTTCGCCTTTGGATCCTTTTGAGTAGGAAAGCAGACACGTGTTACTAACGCAGCATTTCACTTTCACAGTCTCCCTTCCTTCACTTCATTTATTTCTCTCTCTCTCTCTCTTCCCATAACGAATTCAGAAAAGAGAGTTCAAAGGTAGGAATAAATATGGTGGATATACAACCATCAGACGCCCCTTTAAACGGCGTCGGAGAACCCCTCGCGGGGGCTTCACGTGAGACCGTTGCATCCAAACGCCAGCGACGTCCCAGCGTTCGCTTAGGCGATATCGGCGGCGACCAACCTCACGATTCTCATTTCCGACGAACCTCCTCCTCTTCATCCGGCGCCGCCGCTTCCAAGCAGTGGAAGCACCAATCTCATCTTCCGGTAAGCCCCTCAGCAGCCGCTGCGAGTGCTAAATCGTCCAAGACTCGCGCCCTAACCAATCTCAGCACTGACGTCAACAACGAGACCCTCGATAACGAAAGAGAAGCTAACAACAATAACGGCAATTTAGACGGCGTTGCGATTGGTAGCTGGAGAGTCAAAGATTCCAAGAAACGGGGGCACATTACGAAGCGGGTTCGATCCAATTGGGTCCCCAAATTCGACGATTCCAGCGGGAGAAATCTCCATATCAACAGCACTAATGCGGAAACAGAGGAAAATACAGTGGCAATGAAGATAACGATGATTTCGAATTGGAGAACTCGGAAAGTCCCACGAAGAGTCACAGTCCAGTACATTCTTTGGATAATCTGCGTGCCAGTGGCAATGAAAGGGAAGTTCTTTATCATGGGAGTAATCGAAGGAGGCCAATTCGGACTCGGGTTTCAGATGGGGTCGAGTTATCTGGGCCATCTGATACCGAAATGAGACGGTGCGAGAAAGATGGGGTTAGGATATGGTTGTATAGCTTAGGGTTAGGAAGGTATGCCCCGGTTTTCAAGATTCATGAAGTGGATGACGAGATTTTGCCATTGTTGACATTAGAGGATTTGAAGGATATGGGAATAAATGCAGTTGGTTCTCGAAGGAAAATGTTTTGCGCCATCCAAAAGCTCAGTAGAGGCTTTTCGCGATGTTTTTTGCTATGGTTGTAAGGTTTCTGAAAGCAGAATTTTGTCAGCCATGACAATGTAAGAAGCTTTTTGTATGTTTACCTTCCTTTTTAGAGTGAAATGTTGGAGAATCAGTAGGAATTTTTGTTAGTGTTGCAACTTTTTTGCAGTGCTAACTGCTGTTTGTTGAGAACTTTAATGGGAAACAATGAGATAATATCAGCTTTTCTTTTGGTTAAAGGAAAGTGATTGACACAAGTAAGGCAATTTAAATCACATTCTTATGGTTTTCTCATTCTTTTTGCAATTAGATGTGTTTTATGTGCTAATAATCGTGGGTTATTTGTACCGAAGATCAATATCAAGGAATTCCCGAGTACAATATTTTTTAGAAATTGTTAGAAGATTTTGTATTTTTGTATCTTTAATTATATTGTTGTAGGTTATATGGTGATTATCTTGTTGGGAGTATATTTTTTCACATCTCAAGTGCTTGAACTTAGTTACCCTTAAGTCCCCTCTCGTTCTGCAAATAGTGTTTTAGGATTACTAATGATGTTTGAATCTTTAGTTAGCAAGTCGATAACTGCTTCAGGCATAATTCTAATAGTTCGGGCATTCTTATCGGGTTAGTTTTTGTCGTACATTGTCATGTGTTGATTATGCATAAGATTGCAACTTTATATGGCCTAAAGTTCCATAAGATATCATAACTTTCTATAGCCTAGAATTCTTGCTTTGAATACCTGATTCTATTTTTAAACTCTATTAACAATTTCTCTCTCGTCTTTTCCCGGCAAAAGTTGGTAATAAATATGCTTGTGAAACAGTGATAGTGTGACAAAAGATACTACTTGAATTGGTGTTGGCGTATTTTTTGCATTCCGTTTCATTAATTAGGAAGTTAATTTATGATTTTGATGAGTACGTTCTGATCTATTAAGATCTTGGTTCTGCAAAAAAGGAAAGAAAAACAAACAGAATAGAATTCGGTGCAGAAACAAAACGGAAGGTATTACAGAATTGTGGATAGGTAGTACTGAAGAGAAGCACAGCCTAGAAGTTTAACCTATGTGGTCTTTAGAATCAGAATAAGTCGGGTATTATACCATGCTTTGGGCGACGGCTGTGTTAAAACTGCTCCCTGCTAAGTGGCTAAGCTCGGCCTGGCAACGCAATTACGGTGAAAGGGGTAGATTTGAGTATGGACTAAACAGAGAAGAGCCAAGTATCATCCCAAGGCCTTGAGAAAAAGAAAATCTTGCAGTTATTGACAATAGGGAAGGATGATAAGTATATCATTTTTCTTGCAGATGATTATTAAGTTTGTTTGATGGATCACTCTTTTAATTCTAAACTTAACTGTTTACTACATTTCAGCCGATATTCTTGATTTACACTACACTATTGATACATGCTCAATCGATGTGCCCATTAAAGCTAGTCGTGGGCATAAAATACTTCGTTAGGGAATTAACTTTTTAAATGTTTTTACTTACGATTTCCCCGGTACATTTAGTTTCTGGGGGGAAAGGGCAATGAATACAGTTTGGTCTTGCTATTTGGATCCAATTCAATTGAACTCCTACATAGAGGATTGTGTAGTAACATCACCTTGATAAACCTGCTCGGGTTTTTAGCATCATCTTGGTCGCTGGGCCAAAACAAACAAAAACCAAAAATGATGATATAATTGAATTAAATTGGTACCCTATACATCAATTAATTGACTAAAATCCAAAGAAGATGCCCAAAACACACTGCAAGGAGCACTGCTACAAACGCGTAGGAAAACCTTAGAATACCCAAGCTATTGGTTCTACAAACAAACCCCCCCTGATTTTCAGAGAGATCACAACAATCAAACATGGAAACCGATGAAGAATTCGCTTGTTTGATGTCAATTCTACAGTACCAGCTCAAAATCAAAGCAGGAAATCAACTTCGCCGAGTCTTGGAAACCTATCACTCCAACTTAATCGTCTCTTTCCCCGGCTGCTGTTCCTGGTGCTGCAGCTGCTTCTTAGGCTCTGCAGGGAAGTATTTGATGCCCACCAAATCACCAACCTGACTGATAACCTGGCCATAAGATATTATAATTAACAATTTTAGATAACACTTCAAACCGTCACATTCTGCCTACTATCTGAGAACTCCAACAAACAACAAATTTTAATCTGTGCATTAAACTGCCAGGCAGAAGGAATCACATCCGGTAGTTACCTCCAACGCTTTAAGAAGGTCCTCCTTGGTATGCGAGGCAGAAATGCAAATTCGTGCCCTGGCCAAAAGTAGTGGGGTGGCAGGGAAAGCAACCGTAACAACAGCAACCTGTGACAGAAGGATTACATTTTCAATAACTGGTCTGTACGCAAATTTGAGTGATACAAGCACTGGGAATATGGAAGCAATGAATGGAAGAACTAAGACGTCAAAATAAGAATGGCAGATATTTCGATGTGAATTCATGGACAACTGGATTTGGCTTGAGCTCACATTTTGCTTGAGGCACTCTCGAGAAAATGCGGGGATTTTTGCTGGATTGTAAAGCATTATGGGCATTACAGGTGAATCATTGTCTCCAAGGACTTCAAAACCCATCTTTTGTAGTTCTGACCTGAAAAAGTTGCTATTCTCGCGTATCCTTGCAAGTTTTTGAGCTCCTGATATTATACAAAAAAGCCAACTCAAGTCATGAAAAGACGAAATGATGATCCAAATGTTAATATCCCAGTAGAAGACTGGTGATCTTAGAAAGAGATAATATGATGTGCGTACCTCTGCTAGAACCATCCTCTCCGAGAATAACCTTTATTGAAGATATAATTTGCTGTGCAGCTGGAGGTGATATTGATGTTGCATATAGATGAGCAGGACATGTGTACTTAAGATATTGTATAAGTTCCTGAAATTGACATAGGAACAAGTAGTTATGAGATTTATATAACCGATTCCCGAGACCATCAGAACCAATCTCGACTATAGATGGAACATAACAAAAATGACAACTTGACTGTCCAAAGTGACTTTAAAAGATCCAGAAAAGTTAACAATTAGCAAAAGCAACAAACCTTTGATCCAGCAATATAACCACCACTAGACCCAAAAGATTTAGTAAAAGTTCCCATCATGATATCCACATCAGCAGTATCCACTCCTAAGAGTTCACATACTCCTCTTCCTGTTTTTCCCACTGCCCCAATGCTGTGAGCCTCATCCAAGTAAACATATGCCTGAAGCAAATGGGAGATAAACACACAATACTTAGGACAAGAACCAAAAATGATGGCAAAAAATGCATTCTAAATGTAGTCAGAAAAGTCTATATAACTGTAGGAACCAATTTCAAACACGATGAAAAGGGCATGTTCAAGGACAATCCTAATGTATTATCATGAGAACATGATCAATATATCAACTGCATTACCTTGTACTTCTTGCATATGGAAACAATCTCAGGGAGCTTACAAAGTTCACCTTCCATACTATAAATACCCTCCACAACAACAATTATCTTCTTCCATGGCCTGTGTGTCCTGGGCTGCCCCTCAGCAATTTGTTCTCTCAGAACCTTCTCCAAATGAGAAGGAGCTGAATGGAAAGAGTGATTTGCTTATATCGGCATAATGATAGGTCAATAAATTTAATAAGTTTTGAATACCACATAAAACTTACTATTATGTTGAAAAACTCGGATGGTAGCGCCTGAGCCTCGAGCACCATTGACAATAGAGTTGTGGTTTAATGAATCACTAATAATTAACCCTCCCTGTTGATATATGCAAAGAAGAAGAATGACGATAATCAGAGATCAATGACCAAAAGAAAGTTCATATATGAACTTTTCACATAAACACTCAAAGCTAACATTGTGTTTATACCTTTCCAATTATGACAGGAAGAATAGCAGAGTTTGTCACATAACCCATGCCAAAGACCACAGCAGCAGGCTTTCCAACAAAGTTTGCAACACACTCCTCCAGTTCTTTATGCAGTGTCGTAGTTCCTGGTAGGAGAAGGGAAGTGAAAGATTTCAAATAACCAGTGTGACCAGGCAGACTACAGTGCAAAATAATATATATATATATATATATACCTCCATCAACACGAGTACTACATGTGCTTGCTGAAAATACATTTAATGAATCAATAACACGTGGTGTGCAATATTCATCAGCCGCTGCAAAGCCAAGATAATTGTATGATCCCAAGTTAAGGCACCTACTTATCTTTTCAGTTCGCCTGTAAGAGATCAAGAAAAGCAGTCAACATAAGCTAGATACATATATATTTAGGAATCAAGTTTTCTATCTCAATCATTCACCTAAGAAGAACAAATTTTAGTTGACAAATATTCTTTGTATATTGTCCAAATGTGGTAATAAAACAAAGTCAAAATTTAGAACAAATGGTTGTAGAATAAATGAAAGTGAGCTTTAAGTAGGATTGAAGAGTGAAAACACATCAGAATTCTTACTTCAATGTTTTATTATAGTCATTGGAGTAACGCTCAACTACATCAAACCAAGCATCCGGAGCACTCGCTATCGGTCTTCCGAAACAATCCTAAAGAGGTGAAAATGTCAGACACGTTAGCAGCATATAATCATGCAACCGAAAGTCATCAAAAGTGCAAAAAGACTGTTGAAGATTAAATTTGAGCTTAGTAAGTCTTTAACGATTAAATACGAGCAAGAACTAAGTGCTTCAAAGCAAAATATAATAATAAACTGAGATCAGCAACCAAATTTAGATTAAACATTGATTTTCTCTAGCGATTTCAGGACGAAAAATCTCAAGGAAATTTGAATATAAATAAATAAATCAAGAAACTATTGAAGAAAGTAAATACCTGAATACGAAGATACAAGCGTCGAATATAGAAATCTTCAAGTCCTAAACAGATCGGCGCATAACCCTATAGAATAAAAAAACGATCAACTCGTCACGCAACTTAATATATATCCACGCATTTTATTAAGAAAACGAAAATTTTAAGAAGAATGAAAATAACCTGAAGATTGCTAGCCTGCCACCAGTCAAAGATTTTCCTGAAGAAATCACGAAATTGGCCAAACGCGAAGAGAAGGCCATAGCTGAAATATGTTGTTAGAGCGGTCAAATACGGAATGGTGATCATTTTTTTGGTTCGATTTCTCTATCTCTTCCCTCTTTTATATCTCTTCGGCTAAATTGGGGGGGGGGATTGAAAACTACTTCTACGATTTAGATCTGGAATTTGAGAAAAATCTAAAGATTTTTCATTAATTTATGCATTCAAATGAAAGAGAGAAAAAGAGATCAAAGACATTCAAAGAAAATTTCTCTGAAGAGAGGGGGAAAGAGAGCCAGAGAATTGGATTGACCAATCTATTCTACGATTATAACTTTCAATTTTATAATGTAAAATAAAATTCGTTTGTCTGCACAAGACGAGGTCAAAAGGAAATAGGGTTGCCAGCCGGGTTCAGCAAACGATTTTTATTGAACCTGTCTTGGAAAATAGTTTTAGATAATGAGATGAGTATTTTTATCAAAATTCAAAAATATTTTTTATTATTATATTGATAAGAGTTTGATAAAATTTAATAATTAAATTTTATATCATTAATTGTTTATACAATTGAATTTTTAATTTCTCTAATTATAGTATAAAATTTTGTTTTAATTTCAATTATATCATTAAATCGTTAAAATCTAAACGACATGATGACATAGACAAAACTATAGCGTGTTGGCACGAACCTCAGTAACCTCGGTGGTAAAAGAATTGTTGTAATTCCTTGAGGTTCGGGTTTGAGTACCAAATATGCTAGGGGTATGCGCGTTAAATGTCAAATAGTTGAGAGTTATATTTGAATACATAATACTTTCTACTTACCCTAGATCATCGCTCGTTATTACTCATATTTTCCGACAAGATTGGTACCAAAAGATTCACAATTAACTAATCTTTCTTTCTCTATGATTGATTTTACACGAAACTCATTCAAAATCAACGAAATTAAACAAAAAATATATATGATTTTTAGAGATTTGGGGGTTATCTTAGATTTGAGTAATTAGAGGTGGTTATTCGAAAATCCAAACAATGAGAAGTATTATTTTGAGAAGATAAACAATATACCTCAAAACTAACCTCATTGGAAGGTCATTGAAAGAAATTGAAGTATTAGCACATTAAACTTTTAAATGAATTTCGTTGATTTTGAGCGAGTTTCGTGGAAAATCAATCTTATGATAAGAAATATGAGTGAGATGCGAATATTTTGATACCGATCTTGTTACAAAATACAACGAGTGACGGTCAATGATTAACTCTGGCGACGATCGAAAAAGTGCAATGTCAAAATGAAAATGTTTAAAAGTTTAGTGGGAAAATCGATACTCTTTAAAGTTTAATGCATAAAACAACGTCGTTTTAGGTATCAATAGTCGTTGTCAAAACGATGGAGTTTAATCCATGTCATCACCGTGATATAAAGATATACTCATATCATTGTGCCATTAAAATTTAACGGTTGGTCGTATAATTGAAGTTAAAACTAAAGTTTAGTGTTATAATTAGAGAAATTAAAAATTTAGTAACATAAACAATACACAACTTAAAGTTCAATAATATATGACGTAATTTATACTTATTTTTATAAGATATATATCAAAATCATGTATAAAGCTAACAACATTTAATAATGTGTATACATTATATTTTAATCTTGTGCATACAATTATTAAAAATAATATGATTATGGTTACAATAAACGATTTAGTTTAAGCTGGTTCGAGTTTTGGAGGGTGTAGGCTTCAGCATGGGTAACGGGTTAATTTTGGTTTACACTCATGTCTTAAGTTAGTTTGGATTCGGGCTTGGGTAAAAGCCATTATTAATATTTTATTAATAATTTTTGTTTTAATCATACGTTTTTATAATATATTTTATATAGTAATTTTATGCATTAACTATATATTTTCTATCATATGGTATATAAGAATGATTAATATGTTCTTTTAAAAAGTTAAATTATTACAAGAATTTAAATGATGATAAATTACTTATTTGGTCACTTACATATTTATGCTTTTTTGTTTTGGTCATCAACTATTTTTTTTTCCTAAAATCATGCTTAATGTTACATTCTGTTTTTGTTTTGATCACCCAACGTTAATTTTGACTTTTGACTAAATGAAAATGGTGGTGTGACATGATATAACAATAGTTTTAGTTTTAAAACTTGCACATTCCATCAAATTTGCCATAATTTGAAATGATTCAGTAAATCCCAATATTTAAGATTCATATCAATTTGGTCTCTATTTTAATTTTAAATGATTTAATGGTTCAATAATTGTAATCCTCTAGCAAGATGATGACACATGTCATAAGTTGAGTGAATTCAATTTGAACGAAGAAGTTTGTTTTTTAAAATTAGGGACTAAATCTGATTAGATAGCAAGTTTGAGGGCAAATTTTATGAAATCTGAAAATTTTAAGGATCCATATTGGAATTTTTGCCTTCTCCTAAAACCATGTACCCTATCCCAAAATCATAATCACTAGTCACTCATGCCCTTCTTCCGAAAACACATTGTCGATCATTAATCCTTATCGATCGTTCAACACCATAAATGTAGTCTTTCATGAATACTTTTGTCAATTGAGGATTATGTAACCCTCATGAATCTCAAACATCTTTCAAAACCCTATCTCCTATCTTAAAACCCTAATTCATCATCATGGTATTGATCTTGTCACGAACGAAGACAAGCGATGAATAACCAACAACGACAATCGAAAGAGTTCATGGTTTTTTTTAAAAGGTAGATAATAGTCATATCATTACGTCATTAATGATTTAATGATCCAATTAAAAAATAATCAATTTGAAAATTTCAATGGTAAAAATGAACTTTTTATAGCTCAATGACCAAAATGAGAAAATACCTAAAATCCAGTGACTAATAGTGTAATTTACCCTTAATATTATTTCTTAATTATTAAGATTGTATATAGAGACAACAGAAGGCCCACGCCAATGAGAGTTACAACTCGACCCTTAAGTGGCTCACACTCATGTTCTAACATATGCAAGCGCAAATGACTTGGTTGATTGATATAGATTTTTTTATTTATTTAAATGTGATCTTACAAACTCTTTTTTTATATATATATAAAGTAGATAAAAGATTGGAGGATCATTTTATAACTTTTAATAATCGAAAAATTCAACAAAGTAATTCTTTATAGTCGGGAGATTATTTTGTGATTTTTGATAGTTGAGAGATTCAACAAAATAATATCATATAGTCGGGAGACCATTTATGTATTTTATTTTTTTAATTTACATGAAAATAAAAACTAAAATATTGTGATTATGATACCAAGTTTTAATTTTCGTTTTAAAAATAGAGGAAAAACAAACGGTTGATGGTGGGCGGCTTGGTGGGTGGATACACAATACATTGAACACAACCGCAACTTGCCCAACTTAGTTGTCTTAAAATGGCAATATTTAACATATTTCATTCTCTTGGGGTCTCAGCAAGGCAGATTGCAATCAGTGTGGGACTGCCTTCTCCCTATAAGCCAAAACCTGAAAGATACTGTGAATCAAACACAAACCTATTAAATGTCATCATTTAGAAGTAATGAATCATTAAATCAAATTTCGGATTTAAATCTTAATTAATTGATTAATATTTCTTAAAGACATGAAATCATGAATCAATTATACTTTGAATTAATTCAGATTGTGTCCTTGAAACTTTATTTTTTATGGATTTAGTTTCTATATTTTTTTTGAAATAACTTAAAATCTATTAGTAATAAACATAAAAGTAAATAAAGTAATAATCAACGATCAATTGATCTAGTGAGATGAGATACTAATTTTTTTATAAAATAAATTTAAGAGTTTGCATCTTGACATTGTGAATGAAACAAAAGAAGTTGAAAATGTTCATCCTCAAATAAACTTTTGCAATATCCGGTCGAAATTAACTAAAGCATTCGATGACAAATTATTCTATATAAAATTAATATGAAAATAATTTATATAATATTAAAAATTTTAATATGATACATATACCAAATAAACAGTTCAAATAAGAACATTATTAATCAATTCAGTTTACTTATTTTTCTGGGTAAAGTACACAAATGATCCACATGCTATAAGATGTCAAATTATTGAGTCTCCCAATTATTAAAAGTTACAAAATAGTCCTCTAACTATAGGGAGTTGTTTTGTTGAGTCCATCGACTATTAAAAGTTACAAAATGCTTACTCAACTATTCATTATGTTTCAAACTCGTCATTTTCTGTTAAAAAATTAATGACAATCTAAGTTGGAAGTTAACCTCTAACCGAGATATGATAAAATCTGATCTCATAATCTTAAACGAATATGATATCTTAGTCAGCATATTAACATGTAGCTCAGAAGACTATTCTTTAATGGAAAAGGAAAAGTTTGGAACATAATGAATAGTTAAGTGATCATTTTATAACTTTTAATAGTCGAGAGATTTAACAAAAAAATTCTCTATAATTTAGGGACTATTTTAATAGTTAACTCCTCAATAAAACAGTATCATATAGTTGTACCATTTATGTACTTTACCTTTTTTTTTTTATTGGCGATGAAAGAAAACAGCTAGCTAGCTATCTTACCTTTTTTGAAGGGGAAAAAAACCAACCGACGAAGAAAGGGAGCGAGAGCAAAAGACTAAAAACGTAAAAAATAGTAAAGGGAGAACGGCTTACTTGTTGAGGGCGTAGGGTTTTGGTCGAAGGAGGAGAATCGGGAGAGGATGATAGACTTTGCTCGTGTTCAGAAGGAGCTACAAGATTCTGGCAGAGAGAAAGACTCTTCGGGCATTAGGGTCTTCCCGAAATCAGACAATCTTGCTCGCTTGACTGGCATCATCCCTGGCCCCCTTGGCACTCCCTATGAAGGGGGCTCATTTGAAATCGATATCACATTGCCTGGTATTTCACTCTCTCGAGTTTGTTCTGTTTCTTGTTTTAAACTTGATTCCCCCCCTGTTGAGTTTAGAATTTAGAATTTCGGCTAAGGGTTAAGGGTTTCGCAATGGATCATCGATATTGATAATTTCCAGTGGTTGATTTCTGTTTTGCAGATGGTTATCCCTTTGAGCCTCCCAAAATGAAATTTGTGACCAAAGTTTGGTATGAAAATAACAAGCATCATCTTGTTTTAACTGCACATTTATAATGAAGTTTGTGACCAAAGTTCGGTAGAAAAAAAGGAACAAGTATCATCTTATTTTATCTGCACATTTATTCTTCATTTGTTAACTGTGTCGGATAGTTGAATTGGTTTTATTGTAAGCGTAGTACAATGTGGATTGATGGAGCAGTAAAGGTTGTATTTAGTAATGGTCTAAGGTGTCCTAAAAAATATGGTCCTTGAAGAGTAAAGAAGTTGGTCAATTGCTCTTAATGGACGTTGTACTAATCATAGTTTGTAGGGCTTTTTGTTATTTTTTGTGTGATCTGTTCCTTATACTACTTGATTGGACGAGACCCTTGCACATTTTTATTAGCTTTTTGCTCCTATGGAAAACTTGGATTAATAAGCTTGACTTGGGAATCTAATCCCGACTCTGCATGACCTTTTGTTTTACTCTTTCTCTTACTCATTGCATAGCTGAAACTGAACAAACCCTTTCTGAAATCATGGTCTTGTGTTGTATAGTTAACTAATAACTAGGTTTGCACTTTTCATTAAAGTGATTTCTTTTCTCTTCCTTTCCCTTTCTCTAGAGAAAAACTCTAAATAACATGTTAAACAATGTCCTTTCTTATACTGCCTGATAGATATTCGGCACCATGTGCGTTCTTGTCGTTAGAGGATGTTTGAAAGGAGAAAAGAAAAATTGAAATGTATACTGTTACCAATGCATGTTATTGCAACGAGTTCAAGTTAGTACAAATCAAGTTAGTACAAATGACTTTGTTTCCCTCTTTAATATGTTCTTGCATGTGAATTTCTGAACCAAATCTTTTTTGCATGAGACACCATAAAGAAGATGCATTTGAATTTAGGAGTCAGCTGTTGGTCAGTTATAGTCTATTGTGTTTGATGCATAGAGATGAAGTGATTAATGATCGATGAAATTAACTCTTGAAACTTCCTTCTTTTCTATTACCCAACAAAGGCACCCAAACATTAGCAGTCAAAGTGGGGCGATATGCCTGGATATACTGAAGGACCAGTGGAGCCCTGCTCTCACTCTTAAGACAGCCCTTCTTTCTATTCAAGCTTTGCTCTCAGCTCCTGAACCTGGTGATCCTCAAGATGCTGTCGTTGCACAACAGGTCTGGTTTGCTCAATGTCCGATCTTTGCTGTGCTTCGTGTTAAATTGTTTCGTTGTTTCTCTTTTATTGACCTTACTTGAATGTGCAAATTTTGTAGATCATTTATAACCTATGTATGTCGACGGTCCTGCTTCCATGCCTATTTTGCTAATAATTTCCATTAGTCTTTATCACTCTAGCTAGCCATTTAACTTTCCCCTCTTTTTCTAATGCAGTATCTTAGAGAGTATCAGACATTTGTTGGTACAGCTCGTTACTGGACAGAAAGTTTCGCCAAGGCCTCTTCTTTAGGGGTTGAGGAAAAGGTTTGTATTTTTTTATTTGTTTAGGTATTCGTAGAATCAAGTAAATATTCTTGCTACCTATACTCTGAGTAAATTCTTGAGAGGTGACATCTTTTTTAACAATAGACATCTTTCTTGTATTAGATGCTTTGAATATATATTTTGGTAATGGACCAATATCAACAAATCTTATGTTTAATGACCTAAATTTGCTAAGACTGAAATTGGATGGGTACAGGTGCAACGACTCGTGGAAATGGGTTTTCCTGATGGTTTGGTGAGAAGTACTCTAGAAAAAGTTGGCGGAGATGAAAACCTGGCCCTTGAAAAGCTTTTGTCCAGCTGATCTGTGCTGGAGCTGCCAATTGTTCCACATCCTTTTAGATATTCTTCACCTACCTGGTGAATTTGAACACCACAATGACACACAGAATTATATCTGAATATAAGCTCTTTTTATTTACTCAGATCTGATTCCATAGATTTCTCTTTTTTGTCGACTATGCTTATTAACTTTTGTTTAACAAACGTTGTTACTTGCACTTTGTTAAAAGGCAGCTTCGAGTTGCCAGTACTGGTTTTCTTGAAGATTATGTGTATGCTAAGTCCTAACCTTGTAATGAATAAAAATCCGAATTGTATGGAGAAGAATGATGCTTGATTTAATTTCTGTTTTGTGTTTTTGGAGTTACCAGACAACTGTGGGTCGTGTCTGCATGTAGAGATCGAACCATCTAGATCCAAGAGGATCTAGCGGGTATCTCTGGATCCGAATTTAAGATCTCAAGGCATTCAACATTTCGAAGATTTTACCTTCATTGCTTTTGTCATATTCTTTAATCTATTTGTTACTTTGAGTTTATCAAATTGCAAACAGTTTCCATCAGGTGTTAGAGGTAGCCTACTATCTTACCTCTCTCTTACCCCATACATATGGAAAAAAGGGATAACCATTTTCCATCGGGTAACCAGGGAAAGAAAAGAATAAAAAGAGCATTGGTTTCTCTTAATTTACACCGTACTCTGCATTGCTGCTGATTTTTGAGTGATCAAACTTTGGTTAATCTAAAACTTGGTGATCCGGGACAGCGAAGACTAGTTACCCTTTCTTTCTTTAACCTTTCAGTTTTTCAACCGTCTATTTATGGTATTTTTCTTCCATTGTTAGCTTTTTCTTGGCGGATGCCTCTTTATCTATAAACTTGCGAGCTTCAACAATGTCGCCATCACCATTATTATTATCATCATCATTGTTATCAGAAATCACAAGCTCGATTGACTCGGGTGCTTTTTTTGCAGACCCTACACTGTCATCATCAGCCTCTCAAGATTATACTGCTACTTGTCCGATCATTGTTGGAGCCATCCTCTAGCCATGTTTGAGCAGCAGCAGTTGTTCAGAAAGACTTGACGGGCTCCTTCATCTTTTCGGTCTTTATAGTTTTCAATGATCAAGGATTTTTTTGGGGTATAATTGTTTATATCATATTTATTAGTAGATTAATTCAAATTAGGTAGTGCAAAAAATATTATGAAAACGAATTTTCAGATTTATTTTTTTCATTTATTATATTAAAATTCGAATGCATTTAATATAATTTAAATTTCAGGGTTAATTTGAGAACCAATTTAAGGTCCAACAATGAAAATATTTTAACCCAAAACATAAGGTTAGTAATGGGCTTAAACTGGTCATGTGGTTAGTCCAAGCCATCTATCCACGGCATTTCCTTAGGGTTTTTGCGAATATTTGTCGAGGTCGTAAGAGGGTTTTAGGCTGATTTTCTTCTTGGCTGCCGTTGCAAAACCAGTGCTTAATTCGGTCTTCTACAAATGGATTCATCAGCTCTCAATTCTCCCGATTTGCAACGATTCCTCAATGTATGCTCTCTTTATCTTTTGTTTCATTGCCGACATAACCTGTTAATTGCATTGATTCTGTTAATTTTATCATCCAAAGTTCAAATCCGCTTTAATTTGATGACTTGATGGGTTTTGAACTTTCGGGTTTTGATTTTATTTCTTCGTAAAGATTTTTGTTTCAACTGAAACAAAATCATGGAGGTAAAGTCAGGCTAATGGGTTCATGGCATCCCCTTGAGCTAATTATATGACAAACTATTCTCTCTGTATATCCACTGAACATTGATTTGCGCTTTTTAAGTGGTTTTGCTATTGAGTGTCTTAAGATTACTCTCTAGGTAAGTGAGTATGCTATTTAGAATAATACTATTACATTAAATGTAAAAGTTGGCAACTTTGTTGATTATTTCAATACTGCAGACAAAGATGTTAGTTTGTATAGAAACTTTGAAGAGTGCTCTCAAGACAATGGTTCAGTGTAACATTAACACTTCCGTTATGAGAATTAGTAGTCTGGAGATTTTTGTTTGTTCCTTTTGTAAATTAGTTTCATTTCATCACTAAATTACCGTTTGCTTGTAAACACAGTGGCAGATTGTACTGTTGTTGTTTACTCTAGAGTTTTTAATGAAGCCCTAAGCATACTGCTTAAAGTTTGTGTTTGTGATTATTGTAATTTTCTTAAAGAGTGCTCTTAGGACTTTCCACTGCAAAATCCATTTAGTGTTTTTGTGTGGTGTGTGAATGATATGATTGGCATATTGTATAGGTAAACATTATTTGCATATCCACCCATGCACATCTTATGCCTCATACAAGGTTCGGAAGGGACGAGTGTGTCTTTTGTTGATTTGTCTCCAGGTAGCTTGTAGGATTGCATGAGTTGGTATAAATGGGGTCTTTATACAAGTCTTTGGCACACCAATTATTTGAAAATGCAAAATAGAGAAAAGGTAGGTCTAGGAGTGTGTATTCCTTTCCGAAAATTATGCTGAAATTGAAGGTGAAAAGACTTAAATTTAAATGGTGTGTTCTTTTGTCATATTTTAGAGTTGGTCTAATTTAAACTCGTGACACTAATTCAATAAGGGGTTTTATAATTAGTGTAGATTGCTTATTTTTGTTTAGTGTGATGGCTTAATGATTGTTGATATAGTTTGAGGACCTTTGCATTAGTTGTTATTGTAATAGTTGAATGCAGCCTTTCCAGTATGTCGAGAAACTTAGAATCTTGCCTTCTTTGGCTCTTTGATTTATTTTGTTGCGGCTATACAGCAAGAAAAGGAGAAGGCCATGGTCAATGAGATGGTGGCAAAGCTTACAAGTGTGTGCTGGGACAAGTGTATCACAAGCACTCCTGGGAACAAATTCAGCTCGAGCGAATCGGCTTGCCTTTCTAATTGTGCTCAACGGTTCATGGACATGACCATGATCATTATGAAACGCGTTCAGTCCATGCAGTAAACCTCGACCAGGCTATGCATGCAGTCATGGTTACAAATTAGCTTTTCCTGCAAAATTTGCTGTATTTTTTTAAACCGATACTCTGTATTTGAAATTCCTATACAAGGACATCTTTTGGGTTGAGTATTCTACAAATCATTTATCTGAACTATTTTGTGGCCCCAAGATACTCTGTATGTTTCATTTCTTTTGCAGAGGAATAAATCAGCCCCAAGATATTGTATTAACAACGCAATACAGCTTAGCATGTAAAAAATTAAAGCATTAGTTTCCAATAATCCAAATCCAAGACATTTTTCCATTTGTTTCTTTTCTCTTTCCATTTCTGTCTTTCTGTGTACTTCACAGTTGATCATTTAGTTTCGTATTGTTGATTCCGGTTAGTAGACTCGGTATTGCTCAAACCATTCATCTTTGATTCTCCAATTCTGGACAAAGGAAGAATCTCAGGTGATATTTCCCATCTTTCACTCTTTCTTCCCCAATTCAAACGACACTCTGTGTTCTCCGAGGGAAGGATCTGGCTCAAATCGGGAGAAACATCTGGCAATCCGCTGTCCTTGTCCATATAGTCAACACTGTTTTCCTTCGTAATCCCTGATATCTCCCAATGCCTCTTCCCAAACTGGCTTTCTGCCCATTGCAATTTGACCAAAGGTGTTCCCCTTGTTTGGACTTGTAAAATCGCCACTCACTGTTCTCGGTTAAATTGCAGTTTCCTTCGGAACCTTTGCCCTGAGATTTATCTTCAACGGAGGAATACAGGTGCAGAATACCTCCATGAAGTTCTTGATGATCCCTTTGTTGTATGTATTCTCATGACAATCATACCGGTATCTAAAGTTCTCGTACGTAGACTGCCAAAAGTACAAAAATGAACTCGGTCGGTTCAAGCCTAAGAAAATGCAAAGCACTTAAAATAGAACAAGAACAAAAGATTCAAGCACAATAAACATATCGCAACATATTGCATTTTCAGTATTCCCATCATTTACCTGGTTTGTACTGATTAGATACAAATGGAAGACGGTTAAACCACCAACAAACCAGACAGATATGATATTAGCACCATGGAGGCAGGAGTTCTGGTCATCGCTCTCCAGATTGTTGTTTCCTCGCCGTCCATGATTCTCCGGATATAAACCCAGCAAAATCCGTGAACGTATAAACAAAGAATAGTTGGAGAGAAGATAAACATGAAGAAGAATCGGTAATTCCGCTGCACCAAACAGGGAAGAAAAGGATATCAGAGACATCATCATCATCATAATTTTCCTATACGAATGAATCAATGCAAGTAATAGCTACACTGACAATTATTAGGTTGCAAGGAATTTTTATTCGTGCCGGGAAAAGCTAGTCGAGACATCTAAATGACTGGAAAATTAAGGAGCTTCAAACATATACAAAAGAACTAAAGAAATGGCCGGAATAAGCCTTTCAAGTGTTACCACTAGTTTGGATGAAGAAAACAGAGAAGATCACGTAAAACAATTTGTATTACCAGTCCAATACACTGATCAACCCAAGGGCAGTGGTGGTCAAATCTGTTGACGCAGTTATTGCATATCGAACAGTGAGAACATCGGGGAGGTCGATACAGCATGCAAGTATTCGCAGTATTTGATCTTCACACTTATACCATTGACAACCACATCTTCTGTACGTGGTATCTGTAACGGTGGAGTTTGTCCAGGCTGAACTTCAGTCATTCCTTCATAACCTCTAGGCTCAGGAGGCTGCGAGTTTCGTGGAATTATACCAGGATCTCTTCCTGAGGTTAGTAGAAGAAGAATTATATCCTGCAGAAACATAAGTCATCCGTATCTCGTTAGATTTGCAATGATTTTTGAATAAGAAACCGATGATCACAAACATGTTCGAATGTCATGTGATTTAAGAATACAAAATGAACTTATTTTGGTATAAAATCGAGTCTTGAATAACTTGAGGAAACATTCTAAATGCATACAATAAGCAGTAGAGAATCCAAATGATTTGTGATATCTGTCATATGATGGTATAACTTGTACTCGAAGGCAAGCAAGCATCAACATTCAATAACGATATCTGCAGAGTTAGAGTTGATTGTAAAATCACCATAAATATACCGTTTTCGAGAGTTCGATACACAGAAAATCGGTGACAAGAAACACTACACATGAAAATCGAGTGCTGAATCAAAAACTTGAGGAAACACTCCAAATTCAGAGAATCAATAGCAAATCGAAACGGTTCATGAAATCAGTCATACAATGGTAGAAATTGTATAAAAGGGCATGCGATCATCAACATTTAATAACCATCATGGATCATAAAATCAACAACATAAATAACACCGTTTTCAAGATCTCGATAAACAGAACATCAGAGACGGAAAGCAGAAGAAACGACGGTGTTTTTAAGGAAACGAACTAACGGATAAAGTGAGAGCCACAACAACAGCCATTATTGATATTCCGAGGTGATGAGGGAAGTTATCCAGTAATTTTCTTGCTGCAAACACACAGAAGACGGCAACCGGACCAACGATTAAGAAGATGATGAAGAAAAGGGATATAGCATCAGGTCCAAAAATAAATCTTCCTCCCAAAACAAATACCTGCAGAGAAAAAAAAAGGGAAAGTATTTGCATAAAAGATAGCTAAAATATAAACCAATGCATTATGTTTAAACTTTGAAGCCCCATTTTCCCATAACTAAGTGACTTGAATGATCTTCCATATGCTTAAAGTTGGTCAGATTGTTCATAAAAAAAAGTTGGGTCAAATTGCAACATCTCAATTAATTCACAAAAATTCATATCAGGCTTAATCATTTTCCTTTCACTACCAATTCAAATCAACCTTATGAACTACAAAGGAACTAATAACAAGAAATTCATTAACCAGACACCATTTTTTTTTGTTAAAAGAAGAAAAAACTTTCCCATCAATCAAATAACAATAGAAACCGATAACCAGACACTGCTGATCCCATCAAATTAACCCTAAATTGAAGATCGTTGATCAACAAACCATCAAAAGAGATACAAGAGGAAGCTTTTCTTTTGATCTTTTTTTTGCTTACATTGCTGCCTTTCCAAGCTTTGTAAGTTCTGATGAAACCATCACCGTGGTTAGCTTCGTCGGCCAAATCTGATGGAGGATGCTGCAGACCATTCATCATCCAAAAATGTAATCTTTCTTTCCCTTGTCTCAATTAAGTACAGGGAATTGAAGAATAACAGTAGAAAAGAGAAAGGAAGAAAAAGCTTCTATTTTCGAAAAAAGAAGAAGCAAATAAATTAAAAAGGCGGCTTTATTTTTATTTTTATTTTGGGTTTTCTTTTTCTTTCAATTTTTTCTTTCTCTTTTTTCTCTCTCTTGTATAGAAGGCCACAGGTTGCGTTGACTTCTCTCTACTGATTAGCTGTCTATAAAAGTATCTTATTCGAATAGTTTGATTCGAATATTTAGATATTTGATTTAATTTTTTTTTCTAAATATTAGAGATTAAACATCAAATTAAAAGGTTGGATAATCAAATCTAATTCTAATTAAAAAAATAATTTTAAATTATCGAATATCCAAAAATAGAATGGCCTTTAGCTATGTCTTAGTATCTTTCACGGGAAGCTATAATCTCTTTCGGTTTTTATAGTTTCGTTGTGTAACAGTTTAATTTAAGATTTCAACCTAAAATATTATTATATTCAATCTGAAAAATTATAAAATTTGTAATATTTTTGATTATAACAAAAATTTTACATTATGAGAACTTTATGACTTATAACCAAAGATGTTATAATTATAAAAAAGATTATATTTTTTGTTACAATCTATTCAACTTAAAAAAATTACATTTTTAATAACGGTAATTTTTAATCATACATAAATGAATTATATTTTAAAATTTTATTTTCCTCCTCCACCATAATTTTATCCGTATATATATATTCTCTCGAAATGCTCGTTGTACTTCACGAACAGTTGAATAAGGGCTAAAGTAGGGGAATTGAAAGCTGGTGGAATAATATAATGTATTCTTTTCCACTTAAAATTTTACTTTGACTAAAATGTGAATCGTCTAAGGTGACCAAGGTCCACTGTCGAGCTGGTCAACTGTTTCAAAATCGCTCAAATATTCATACTTTTATCCCCTCTCTCTCTCTATATAAATATTAATTAATACCGATCATATCCAAAGTTAAAATAAAATGGAATTAACCCTTAAGAACAAAAACTAGGTCAGGCTAAGAATAATAAAAAAATAGCTGATTCTATTCCCATATGTAATGGGTAAGGGAGAGGTAGGAGAATAGGTTTTCCCCCAACGTTAGGTTGAGAGTAATTTTCGTGGAACATCTCCAATTATAAATTACCTACCATGAGACTCGATCCCACGACCACAAAGTTAAGAGTCTTACACTCTACCAACTGAGCTGGACGGGTAAGAATGTAAGATGTAAAAATAATAAACTGTACGTTATTTTTGGGGGCCATATATTCGTGCATGTTGTTATTTGTTAGAACGAAACAAAATTAATATAAATTGAATTTATCATAATGATGTATCATTTATATTTTGACCAATAAAAATTGTTATTGGTTATTACAGTGTTGACTCGGAATCTCTGATCGGAAATCGGTCGAAAAATGCTTCGGTTTTTCGGGTAACTATTGAGAGACTATGGAATTAATGTCGTTCTCCTTGAAAAGGAACAAAATGGCGGCATTATTATGAACAGGCGAGACTCTCAACGCATGTAGAAGAACAGGTGCTTTGCTCTGATGAGGTTGTTGGCACGATTAGAGGTGGGACAGGCGAGGACTTCAATGCAGGAGGGTCCTAGTCCTGCTGAGCTGGCTGAGTTTGACAAAAATCAGATTTCAGGGTAATGTCCGTAACCACCAACAAGGTAGGGCCAATGAAGAAATTTTATTAATGGGTTTTTCTAATATTGATTTATCATTGATGGGTCGGAAAGTGAGAATCCATTCCATTCTTTTGCCAGAAGGAAATCGACCGTGTGAAGAAGGAGCCACTGAAGCATCAATCGGTATAGAAATCCAAGGGAAAAAGTTGGTTCAGTGGTAACTTTGGATGTAAACGAAAGTTCTTTGTCCGACTCTAAT